GCCAACTCGGGGGACGACAGCCGGAGCATGCGGAGCGTGCGGAGCGTGCGGAGCGCAGCCCCCCTGGGCGCTGCCGACCGCCACCCTGGCAGCCTCCGCCGCTCTGCATCTGCCCTCGACTTCTCTCGGCGCACCTGCCGGCGCCGCAGCAGCTCGGGCTCCTCCGAGGAAGAGGAGGAGCAGAAGAAGAAGAGCGCCAAGAAGCATGCCAAGAAGGCCAAGAAGAAATCCAGGAAGAAGAAGAAGCAGCAGCAGTCATCATCTGACTCAGGTTCCTCCTCCGATTCCTCCTCCGATTCCTCCTCCGGCTCCACCAGCTCCTACCGCAGCACCTCCAGTGTCAAAAAGGGCCCGCGGGCGGCAGGGGGCGAGGAGCCGGGACGTCCCGGCCGGGGCAAGAAGGAGGAGAAGCAGCGGAAGAAGCAGGTCGACAGCCTGATGATGAAGTACCTGTACCGGCCCGAGAGCGACTGAGGCAGGAGGTGGGAGCAGTGTGTGCCGTGCAGCATGAACCTCCCCGTGTGCCACTAACCACTCACCTTAACCCTCGCCCGGCTCCGGGCACGGAGCTCAGCTCCACCGGGGGATAGGGCACCCCGCTGCGTCCGCAGCCAGCCCTGCTTTTGGGGTGCTGGAGGGCATCCCCAACGCATCTCCGGCCATAGGGAGCATCCCCGGCATGGCCGCAGCAGGACTGGCAGCTGCCCGTGCTGCCAGGACGCAGCGTGTTCGGTATTAGAGACTGCGGCACGTGGGACACCGGGAAGCGCTAATCCCTTCCCGGCTCCCCGGCCACTGGCCAGGACGCGGCTGAATTTATTCCTTCAGGAAATTTAAGGGTTTGCCGGGTGGCGCAGCATCCCCGCTCACCCCCGGGGGATTTGCTGCCCCAGGGATGGCAGCAGGCCCCGAAGGCGGCGAGGAGGAGCAGGGCGGGTACTAACACACACCCGCTGCAGTGTGTGGGCGCGGGGGGGGAGGCAGCACCGGTGGCGGGAGAGCCGGGGTGGGCGATTGGGGCTCAGAGGTGTTTCTCAGGGTGGCCGCATCCTGCTGCCCTGCACCGTGTAGGGTGCCGGTGACAGGGAATCGGGGCGGGAATAGCCTCACCCTGCAGGGCTTTGGGGCTCTGCACCCTGTTTGATGGCAGAGGAGAGGGTGCGCCGGGGCTCGCTGGCAGCGTTTTCGGAGCGGGTTCGATCCTTTCCGATGGCTTGAATAGGAGAAGGGCTGGAGGAGGGGAAAAAAGCCTTCTGGAAACGTGGTCGCAGTTGGGCTGCCCGCTGCCTGCCAGGCTGCCTGTCCCGGGGCCAGGGAAGGCATCGCAGGGTGGCAGGGGGGGAGAAACACCCCCAGCACCCAGCCATGGGCTCCAGTGCGACCGGGACCCTCGAGTGGTGACACCTGTGAGCGCCAGCATTTGCATCCACGGCCACGTGCCTTTTTCTGAACGCATGATGCCGGGTGTCCGCGGGGGCTGCCGCCGCCGGGCAGGCTCGGCTCGGCCCCGCTGCAGAGCAGGGGCTCGGCTCAGCCCGGCGAGGAGTCAGTCGCGGTGGAGTGTGCCCCAAATATCTCGGAAATAATAAAAAAGGTGGCGATCGAGGCTCCATCCAGCTGGCTGCCAGCCTCCCCGTCCCCCCGCTAACCCCGCTCTCTCCCGCACAGCCCCCCAGGCTCCCGGCACCCCTTCGCCTACGACAGATGGGACGAGGAGCAGGACACCGGGGAAAGCACACGCCGCTCCTCCCGCAGCTCCCCCAGCGCCAGCG